AATATATATATATATATATATATATATATATATATATATATATATATATATATATATATATATGTGTGTGTGTGTGTGTGTGTGTGTGTGTGTGTGTGTGTGTGTGTGTGTGTGTGTGTGTGTATTCTGTCATAGTACATTTAACCTGAGAAGACTCCAGGCATGAACTTAAAGGAGTCAATGAGATGAGCAAGATGCATCTCAGAATGGAAGTGGAAGTAACACCTTCTTAATTTAGCTGCCACCACAGGCATTTAATACGGGGATGTTAGCTGGCTTTGGAGACAGGAAATGGCTCAGTATGTGAGAAGTGTCTTTCTTATTTAACAAATAGTTGTTAAAGTACACATCTCAGCTTCTTCCTAGTGATGTTTCAAAACAATATTTAACCTAAAGAAGGGTTAAATCTATGATGACTATGAACATGAGATAACATAAATAAGATCAGTAGCCAATGTAATAGAGATCAGTAGCCATTGTAATAGACTTGAATTATCTAAATTTTATTAGGCTTTGTCACCCATTATCTTGAAGAGATTGACAAGAAGTGTAGATCAGTTTTGGAAACAACAAGTTTAATGCCAGCATAGCTTTTTGGGGACAACAGGGTATGGAGAACACATCAATATAACAAAATCTTTAAGAAAAATCTTTAAGTAATATGCTAGAAGCCACCACCACCCCCCGCCTCCAAAAAGCTAGCATTGGGATCAGGGCTAGAAGTATGAAGGGACAAAATCAATCAATCAAATGAGATTTAGGTTACCATAAACAAGGCCTTTATCGGGGTGGGATTCTATAGGTTCGCACCTATTCTCTAGAACTGGTTGTTACCATTCTAAGTAGTTTGGAGAACCAGTTGCTAGAAGAAATTACTGGTCTAATCCTGTAAGGAAGGCAGGAAGGAAACATTCTGGTGTTGCTTACAGAAACTGCCTCTCCGTTAACCCTTATTACATTCTTGGCAGGACTAGACTTCCTGTCTCAGGAACTTCTCTGGAGTTTTTTTTCCTCCTTTGCTGGTACTTTGCTTGTATGGAGTGACCATTCAAAGTTACAGTGACACTGAAAAAGTGACTTATGACCATTTTTCATGCTTACGACTGTTGCAGCATCCCCATAGTCATGAGAGGCCAGGTGAGGAGATGCGTGCCTCGATGTAAGTGATATTGAGTTGGCCACACCCAGCCAATAACATGACCACCAAGCCATGTCCACCCAGTCACATGACCACCAACCCATGCCCACCACCTAAGCCACACCCACAGAACCGGTTGTTAAAAATTTGAATCCCAGCCCTGGCCTTTATAGAAACAAAAGTATTGTATCTAGATTTACATAAGAAAATTATACATATAGTAAGGAAGTTAGGATTAAACAAAATAAACAAAACAAATATAGTACAGGATTCCTACTTGTTTGCCTCGTTTCCCTGGCCGTCCAGTCGGTCCTCTGTGTCCTGATGCACCAGGTTCTCCTTTTGGGCCCATTTCTCCCTTGTTGGGGATGGAAAGAATAAAACCCAAATCTTCAGTGCAAAGATACACACTTGGTGATAAAACCATCTTACCCAAAACTCAGCAGATACTCACACACATGCCAAAAAGATATCCTTCTAAATTGTTTGTGTAAATAATATCAACTAAAGTACATTTTCCTCAAAGAACATTTCTCTGAAAGACAAATTAGTAAGCTGCCACTTAAAATGATAGGGAGAGAATTAGAGAACCCAGAAGCAATGCATAATGACCATCACATACGTTGAGACTGATTATTAAGTCTACGTGCTTTGCAGGCTCCTCTTATGAATCAGTTCTGCTAATGAACTCTGTGAGTTTTATTTAATAAGTTTACGAATATACAGTAGCTCCGTTCACTTGGGGAAAAAAGATTAATAATGGTACCATAAGTACACTAAATAATAAAAAGCTTCATTCACTTTCATTTCTCCTCGGTCAATGAAGCCACAATCCAGCATCTTATTTGGAAACCATATATATTTTTCTTGCTGCACTCATTTTTAGAAATAGAAAAGTAACACTTGGGTGTTAACCAACAGCCCAAATAAATGTAAACTAAGGCTGTTCCCAAGAAAATTTCTACTCTATTTAGAAAGGGTTCTAAGCAGTGGTGGGTTTCATAAAATTTTCCTACTGGTTTGGTGTGAGTGCATGCTTTGCATGTGCATTTGTGCTTTGTGCGCGCGCAATGTTTGCAACTCACCTTCTATTGCAAGCCCTGTGTGTAAAACAGCTGATGCGCAGCAATCGGCTGTGCCGCGTGAAGCAGCTGAGGTTGAAAAGCAGGAAATAAAGGTCAGTATAGAGTCAGGGCAGGTGGGAGGGCCCAGCAGCTGATCATTAGAGTGAACGGTTTGCTCACAGATGATCCTTGAAGCTACCGGTTTGGCTGAACCGGGCTGAACTGGTAGAATACCACCACTGGTTCTAAGTTAACTCAGGAAAAAGGGGGAAGCTAAAACCTTTAAGTCACAGAAAACTTTAAGGACTTTTTAAGTCCTTTCCTTCTTTCAGATGGCTTTAAACCCAAGATCAAATGTTTGAACATGGGAAAGGAGAGTGAGAAGACACATGAAATGCATGAAAGGTCCTAATGTCCCATTCCCCAATTGCTTCAGGCTTGCCTACTAGTAGCATATGGATTCTACAATTTTTCTCTTAGGACAGAGAATGCAATTTTCCCTGAGCATTACTTGAATACCAAAATTAAAAATGAAACAGTGAGCAACGACATTCAGCAGCATCAAATACTTTTATTTTTCTACAACCATTCAAATGAAAATACTTTTTCTCCCTCAAATGGTTAACTAGTGTGAAACCACCTTGAAGAATATAAAATGGATTTTCTTGATAAATGAAAATTTGGTCCTTACAATTATCATCAGATGGTTATTTTAACCAGACATGTAAACAATCTAAAAACTCAGATATGATAGTCATGGCAAAAATCCTCTTAGTCCAAATGAAATTAACAAAAGCATTACAGTTCATGTTATTTAATTACACAAATTGTGAAATTTCCAATAGTTTATATTCTTTTAAAATAATCATTCAAACTTCACTTTTTTACCTGGAACTGAAGCTGAGACCTGTACTAATTCCATTCTTTTGAATCATTAATACAGTGTTTCTCACTCTCAGTAATTTTAAGATGTATAGATACAACCTCCAAAATGGCTGCGGAATTTATGAAGCCCAGACATCTTAAAATTACTGAGATTCAGTAAAAATGCATTGACCTACTCAGAAGCCGCCTAATGTATTCTGTAGATTTTGCTTCTAAAACTTCCTTAAACTTTCAACATACCTAAAATATGTACAAAGTAGCGGTCAACAGGTATCCTACACTAATTACAGTTTACTTATCTTGTTTGGGGAGGGGGGAAGTAAAGGAAATCTATACTCTTATCTGAGTTTCAATAGTGACAAGACAGATTTGAGTTGAGAATGAACAGTGCAATATAATCCATATTTATCTAATATTGTCCCACTAAAGACAATTAATCTTAGGAGAAAATTGTCTCCCAAAATCCCTTTGTAATATTAACTCTAACACATGTCCATCCTGTGCACAGATTGAGCATCCTGGATGTATCTTACCTTTTGCCCCAACATTCCAGGGAAACCCATGTATCCCTGCAAAGAAAAAGTTGAATAAAAAAAATGAACTATCCTTTCATTAAAAATTTGGGGGAGTTGATCTTGGATTTGTCTCAAAGGTGCTTTTTCAAAAGGTGCTTCTCATTCAAGAAGCTTCTTCAAGTAGTGACTGCAGCTTCTTGGACGAAAAATGAAATGCCTTCAAGGAAATACAAAGAAAGTCCAGTTGGCTTTTGAAAAAACACTTTGGGAAATCATGACTTGAGTGACTGAGAATCTCCATAGATAATTGTTTATTTCTTTATAAATCATTGTGCCCAACTCAGACCATGTGACTTTGGGCACAACACAAAAAGAAAAGAAAATATACCAATAATCAACTAAAACAAGATGGCATACTGTATTATACTAAAACTTTCTAAAACAATAAAATAGCAATGAGATACAAGCAAATATGTCAACTTTTGATTTAGTGTAAAGCAGGTTGAAAAATCTGTTTTTCTAATATTTGTAGAACAGTTTTCTACTGTTAATATACAATATACCACATAATCTGTTTGACTGATATAAGGATAGAGATAATTATAGTTATACAGTATTCAACCAGTCCTGGGTGAAGCAATTATAATTTGCATGAATTTAAATAAATCAATTGTTCTAATTTAACAATAAATAAGGATGAATGTGACTTTTAAACATAAGTATATCTTAATTCATTGCATTTTGGTTTTATAATTTTGCCATTTTTCACCTATTTTGCTAATCCTCTCCCTGATTTTGTTTTTATAACCATCCATCTTGAAAACATTCCTGAGATCATATAATTTTACATTGAATATGCATTTCTTCAATTATCTATCACCCATTTATCTTCCCTATTCTTACCTCAGCCCCTGGCTTTATCCTAGAATGACATCTTAGAATGACATCTTTAATACACTGGAGCAAAGATTGAAAAGGCTAGTGCAGTTTTAAATGCTAACATTATAAAATCTATAATAACTATAATAATGTATTTCTTCAGCTAGAAACCAATATTACAAATCTAGGACTATATAAAGTTCCTTGTACAGAAGTTTCCAGTATCCTAAGAAACACAGTTCTTCCATTAAAAGGCCATTCATCTGGCCCACTATTTATGTTTTTTATATTATCCTTATTATTTTTTATAAATAAAGGCAGCAAAAATTTCTAATTCTCTCTCCTGTTTTCTCGACAATAGTCCTGTTAGATGAATTGGGCTGAAAGAAAGTGACCAGACCAAAGTAATCCAGCTGGCTTTCATGATTAAAGAGGGGCTAGAACTCACACTCTCCTAGTTTTTAGCCTGATGCTAGATGCAAACCTGGCATGAACAACTCAACAAGAAAAAAATATTCCTGGTCTGTATAAGATTGTTTGATACTATAGTAAGAAAATATTACCTTATCACCTTTGCTGCCTTTGATTCCTTTCTGTCCTTGAGCTCCCTGTGGAAAACCATATCAGAGGTATATAACACAGCAGTTAAAAGTATGATTCTGCTTCCTCCAATATCCAATGTTAAATTAAATACAGTCATGAAGATAGGTAAATTTTTGACCTTCCATACAATGGCAGTGGCTATTTATTAGGGTTGGGGTATTCTGGGAGTAGAAGTTCACACATCTTCAACTGGTGAGAAATGCTGTTTTAAGTTTCTGTTCTTCCTGTTTTGGAAATGATTTGGACTAAGAGCTCTAGGTTTGAGCAAACCTAAGACCATAATCTGTCTGCTACTTGTTAACACACATCCATTTCTCGGGTTTTCACATCCGCTTGATGAAAAGTGCAGCTTTTTAAAGAGTCTCATTAGCTTTAACAAGCTGAGTCCTTAAAGCAATTCTACTTTTCTGAAGGGTCACACAGAAATCTGAAAAATGAAATGTTTCTGCTTTAATGAATAGTAGAGATGTGGTAGGGTTGGGTCCACACAGGGGTCAGGATTCTATAAGCATGAACAGTCTGATGTAATCACTCCTTCCTTACTGATTTCCTCCGGACATCTGGTTGATCACTGGGCTGTGAAATTTCTCAGGAGAAGCAGGACTCAGCAATATGAAGAATCATTTTAAAATGAAATACTGAATCCAAGCTGCGCTTCCCTTTCAAGTGCCAGACTGAAGCAAACATCTCTACTTTTCAAACTCCCTGCACAAAAGTCCCCTTCTACTAGATCATAGCAGTGATGCACTGTCATTGAAATGATTCAAATTGAGAAAATGTTTTCTCCCTGAATTTAATTCTTTCATGGTGGATGTCATTCAATATTACTTCAATTAATGGCCTTGCTTGAACAGCACTTCTGCCACGTATTTTCACTTTATAAGAAAAGAAAAGTTATTATTAATAATAATAGTAATAATTGCTTTTATTTCAGCACTAAATATATAAAGATGTGGAATAGAAGTAGTTTCTATCAGTCCAGGACAATGGGCCCATTTATTCTCTGCTGTGGTATATTGTTACAATTTTTCCTATTTAAATAAAGATAAAAGTATCAAATCTTTTATCTGGAGAAGTAGATCTTGGAACTACTTGCCAAGATCTATCTAAGAAACTATAGTCCAACTGTTATTTTTCCTTAGTTGCTTATGTAGTAAGAACAACCACCCAGAATATAAACTGTTCTGCTTAGACTGTTCCTTAATAATTTGATGGAGCAAAGAAAATTCTGTTTAGGATGTTCAACCTCAGAGAATGCCAGTAATACTCTGTGCAGCATTTAAAGTCTTTTTTAAATTTCCTTTGCCATTTCTTCATTATTTTATTCTGTTCAAGGCCATTCAGTGGGTGAATAAAAAGAAATAAACACTGTCGCCATATGATCAAAGTCATGCTCCCTTTGCATAAGGAAGGCATGTGAGAAGGGGCAGGTTAGTCATGCAGTTGCTGTCACCATCATGGGATATTTTTTTTTGACTCATCTCTTTAATCTCTTCAACCTACTTTACTCCTGAATCAAGTAAAAGTGGCCATTTTAATATCAACTGGATGCAAATACTTATTTATACAGACTAGTACAGAGTGCTTATTAGTAATTTTATCACTCACCTTTTCTCCGGAACCACCTGTATTACCCTAGAACAAAATTTTGAAATACAAAAGGAAAATATAAGAAGCAATAGCATCATACCTCAACCTAAAAGCCAACACAAGAAATCATGTATAGTAGACACACTTGATATTGCTTTGAACATTTAATAAGAAGCAACAATCATTATCTTTACCTCTTTCCCCTACCTACATAGATACATCTCTGACATTGTCTTTTACTGGGCTTTCAGTTTAATTCTAATCCTTTTAGCAACATCTACAAGCATTTTAATGACACCTTTAATCTTAAATTTTAAAATTAATCTTTAATCTGTCACTGAATTCACATACTGTAAAACTGTGAGTGTTAAATATTAAAAAAATATATAATCAATATGTACTTCTCTCATATAAATGCAGATGAATATTAAATATAATTTTTGAAAGATGGTATTTTGCCAGCTGGATCAAACAATCCTCATATAATAAATATGCTTGTTTTTCTGAATTATTGTTTTTAAAATATACATGTAATTTTTTTATCTATAGGCCATTAAGATTATTTCTAAAAATTAAGGAACTATACAAGAGTTATCTCTCACATATGAATGTGGCACACTACTTTCTATTCTTGTTTCTCTATATATCATTAGAAAAGCAGATCATGATGTCTACACATTATGTATTTCCAGCATCTCTATATAAATGGACTTAAGGGCAGTCAAGTCAATTATGTATCGAGACATGTTAGCCTAACAGATGTTAAATAAATATATAAGTAAACGAATAGCCCACTGGGTCAGGAAAAGGCAAACGGTAACCAAACTATGCAAAAAAAAAAATCAGTTTAGGGAAAACTTCCTAAAAACTGTAAAGGATATAATTCTGAAGATTTAAGTCCTAAGTAACATTTAGTCTAGCTATTTCAAAGTAAATAGGTAGCATGCAAGCCTCCTTTACATGCCCTATTTTTCTGGAGACAAAGTCCTTACATCACAGATGTAAGAGATCCAACTCCTTGCTTTGTAAAATTCTTTTCCATTCAACATGTAGGGTTCTTTTAAAAAAAATTTAACTGTGGCCATAGAGGGACTTTTAAAATGTAATAAAAAAGTGCATCTTTGTTTTGAGTAAGGAAAAACTTTGTAAAGGAAATAATGAGAACAGGAAATTTTTAAGACTTCTACCCACAGTGCCTAGTGAGCAAGTTCAAAGTCAAACTCAGACATTTATTTTAATGTAAACTCAAAAACAAAACAACAATTGTATGTTGAATACATTGAATGAATGAATGTGCAAATGAATGAATAAATATGGTCATACCCAGACTACTTCATTCATTTGCCCATTTTTGTACTTAAAACACATTTAATATATTGTGTAACTCAGCCTTAGGAATATTTATTTTATTTGACTTATTTATTTTTGTCAATTGCTTACAAGATAATAGGTATAAGTAAAAACATAGTTATGAATACATGGATACATATAAGAAAAGTAAAAAAGAAATATAAAAGAAACAATAGGACAGGGACGGTAGGCACGTTAGTGCGCTTATGCATGCCCCCTATAGACCTCTTAGGAAAGGGGTGAGGTCAATAGTAGACAGTCTAAGGTTAAAGTTTTGGGGGTTTGGGGAAGAAACCACAGAGTCAGGTAGAGTATTCTAGACATTGACCACTCTGTTGCTGAAGTTGTATTTCCTGCAATCAAGTTTGGTGCGATTAACCTTGAGTTTGCTCTTGTGTTGTTATGGTTGAAGCTGAAGTATTCATTGACAGGTAGGACATTGCAATGTATGATTTTATATACTATACTTAGATCGGACCAAAGGCGGTGTAGTTCTAGGTTTTCTAGGTCTAGAATTTCAAGTCTGGTGGCATAAGGTATTCTGCAACGAGTAGAGAAGAGGAGAACTCTTCTTGTGAAATATTTCTGGACTTTCTCAACTGTGTTAATATCAGATATGTAATGTGGGTTCCAGACTGATGAGCTGTATTTGAGTATTGGTCTAGCAAATGTTTTGTATGCTCTAGTTATTAGTGTAATATTAGCAGAGAAAAAGCTACATAAGATTAGCTTAACAACTCTTAATGCCTTTTTGGCTATGTAGTTACAGTGGGCTCTAGCACTTAGATCATTAGAGATGAATACTCCAAGATCTTTGACAGAGTTTGGATCATCAACAAGGTCTTGACTATTCAGCCTGTATTTTATTTTCTGATTTTTTTTTTTGCCATTATGTAGGACAGAGCATTTATTTGTTGAGATTTGAAATTCTTATACATAGTCAAGGTCTTTTTGAAGGGTAGCATATCTGCCCGAGTGGATGCAAAAAAGTTAAGATGACAGCCATCACATTTACTAAAACCTCACACCTTTTCCACGTGCTTTAAACATGTGATTGCAACCATCATCTTTAATTTTTGAAGACCACCCCTTTTTCCCTTGCAAATGCTTCTGTTCAACCCACATACACTATTACATTGCCATAAGAATCTGGTAAAGAAGAGAAGAAAAACCAGTATTTCCACACTTTATTACAATACTTTCATTCTATCTATGGAAAAACATTATTCATCCTTCACTCCCAAACATCATAAAGGCTATCTGTTTACAATGTACAAGTATTCGCTTTTAATCCAATAATTATTAGACCCCAAGAAAGAGAACATAGAGCTTAGAGTAACAAACCTTGAAGCCCATTGGTCCTCTTGTACCTGGCAATCCCATCAAACCTAAATCTCCCTTTTCACCCTAAAAGAAACAATAGAGAAAATCACTCATAATGGGCAGGTTTTATTGTAATGATTGCATTGGTTGACAGCTGAAGAAAAATTTGCACCATTTCTATATTTCTTAATGCATCTATATCATGGGAAATTACAATACATAAAATGAGTTCAACACAAGTTATTTGTATAGAACAATAAACAAATGAGCATAGACTTCTCAGATTGCTCCCTTGCTTTTTTTTAACCATTGGATATAATTAACCTGGATTACACTGAGCCAATCTGATGATTTGTATCACAGCATAAGGCAGGTCTGGGCAGGTTCTGATGGCCATTTATTTTTGAAAGGGGAGGCAACAGGATTCAGTGGCCCTGAAACGTTTAGGTAGATTTTCTATCCCATTTTTTAAAGAGTGTTGAGCTAATTTTTGTTTATGCTCCAAAATTTCTTTATTTCTGACATTAGGAAACTATCCCATCAGTTGTCAGCAATTGCTGATAGATGGAAAAGATTGCAGCAAAGAGGATCTCTTTTTATACTATAAAGGAACAGTTTGCCAGTGATTGCTTCTAAGATGTTTTATAGTAAATTAGTTAAGTTTATAGTCCTAGTGTTCCTTGGTAATCTCCCATTCAAGTATTAACCAGATACATCAATTATGTGATTAGCTTCCTACTGACCATCTGTAGCCAACACTCCCACTGTCTTCTCACAGATGCTCTGAAGAAAAAAACATGTTCTGATTGATATAATAATGTCAACCCATAATTTCACTACTTTTATAAAGACAACTATAGATAGAAATTTATACCTGTAAAAGATAATGTTTGTAGCTCAGTGTTGAAATGAGGGATCCTTGGTGTTCTCTGAGCTTGTTTGTTTTCTTGCAGATGTTTCGTGGTCCAAATTAAGTAAGGAATTGTGTTTTCTCTCAATTTGTATTCTAGTAGCTTGCCCAGTTGGTGTTGGTGGGAGTGGTTTTGGTGATTTGTTGATTTTGTTTTTGTTGGGATGTTTACTGTGGTTTTTTGGCAGTTCTTTGACCGGGGTACTGTTCACATCTTAGTTGTTGGTCTAACGTTAATCTTTGTTGAAAGGCTGGAAAATGCCTTTCTTCTGAGGATTCGGTTTTCCTGCTGGGAGGGCTCCGGTGCAAGGACACAGACAACTGCTTGGAAGCAGGTTCCTTTTATTTTTCAGGAAGGCAAGAGATAGCAAGAAGTCTGCGTTCCTGGGGCTAGCCATCATTGTATAATAAACCCCTGATTTTTATACCTTTTCTCCTTTTGTGTGTGAGTGCTTATGTTTTAAATCCTGTCAGGGGGTTGTCTTCATTTCCGCCAGAGGGTAAACTCCACAGGGTGGTTTGATTGAATTATCAGTTTCATCCTAATGTTTTCTTATATTTGTTTGGTGGCAATCTCCTGTCTGCTATGGAATTTATTTCGTGTCTTTGTCTATTTGTTTTGCTGATTTGGCATGACCTGTTGTTTGTAAGGGATTTCTTTTTCTTGTTTCCCTAGCTTTCTTAAGTACTTGGCTTTTGTCTAGGGGGCTTCTTTCAATACTTTTTATTAAATCTCTTTTCCTATGCAAGTTTGTTTTATGACTGGCCTGATGTTCCCTTTGGGCTTTTCCTGCTTGGGTGTCACCACTGTCCTCATGAAGTTCCCTTTCCACATCTTGATGTTAAATTCTGTTCATATGGGTGTTGAATGCTGGTAGGAAGATGTTTTGATCTTCCTTTTTGGCTTATTGATTGTCTCTTTGGAATAGTTTATCTGTTTATCTCTATGTGCCTGTTGATCACCGATATGTCTGAGTGCCAATCTTCCAGAAATTCTCTAGCATTTTGGATTTTGCTTGGTCAAAGATGGTCAGAGTTTTTCAGTTGAAACTATAGTTAAATTTGCCCTTACATTGAGAAATTAAAGAGTTTTCATCATGTCTTCTGACTACTAGTTTGTGTTCATGGATTAATTCAGCTAGCCTTCTGTCTGTTTCTCCTACATAGTGGCCGTTAGATTCTTCAGACTGTACGCTGCAGATGACTCCTGTTTTTCTTCTGGGACTGCTGAGTATTTTGGTTTACTTAGGATATTTTGGAAAGGTTTGGTTGTTGTGTGCTATGCTGACGTCATGTAGTTGCAATAGTCTGTTGCTGGTTTCTTACATGTTTTTGATGTATGACAGAATTATCCTTATTACAGCTTGGGTGGGTTGTGCTATATTGGGTTGAGCGGTCAGGCACTTTTTTGAAGAAGTTGCATAGACATCCATTTTGTTAAAAGATGTTATATAGATGACCTGTTTCTTTTTTTCTGCTGTTCAGGATTGCTGCAGGGTGTTTGTTTTCATCTAAATAGAGTTCTTGCATAGCTTCTCTTGCTGGATGTTGTATTGTTACTGTGGTAGTGGAGCACTTGGTTGGTATGGATGGTTTTTCAGTACACCTGTGTTTCTGTCATGCCCCTGGTGGAGACTGACTCTGAGGGAGAGGAGGAACAGCCAAAAGGGAGTGGAAGTGTGGCTCTGGAGGTTGTGGAGGAGGCTGGGGAAGGGCAGAGGCCAGCTGGGCAGTCAGAGGAGGACCCAGGCCCATCCCCTCTCCATCCTAGGGCATGCAGGGAGGAGAGGATAAGGGAGAGATGTGTTCTACAGGGGAGGATTCTCTTCATGGGCTGCAGCTGTGACAACTGGATAAGAGGACGGATATGTGTATGGGCCAGTGCTGGAAACAAAGTGTGGAAATATCTCTAGTTTATTGTTCCTCTCTGAGTTTGGCGTCCTTCCCAGTATGTGTTCTGATATCTGTGGATGTCTTCAAGTCCTTATCTTGCTTGGTTTGTGTTGTTTTTTACTTGTTATAATTTATAGGCATTTTGTTCTTCTTGTAACTGCTCGTGTAGGAGTTTTTTGTCTCCAGTCAAGGATATTTGGAACTTGGAAGGAAAGTGAAGGAATAAAAGGGGCTTTACCTGTTTTTTGTGGCTGTGTTTATTTTGTATCCCACGCTGGGTCATCACAGTTTTTAATTTGCCATTGTACTCTCTACTGATAAGAATATCCATGAAAAATAGCATGTTGTTATTTTTCTTCTTCCCTTCTGAATTAGTTTCCTTTGAAGATGTTGCTGATGGTTTGCTAATTGGTCCTTTTTATTATGGTAAAGGTGTTGTTTAAATATCTGATCTATATTTTGGGTTGTATGTGTGGGAGTGCTATCAATTCCAGAGAATTCCAGAAATATATACCTATTAACTCTATGTGAATAATTAATTTGGTTGGATATCATCTGCCCAAAGCACACAACAGATTTTTCAAACTCATCATTTATTAGCAAACTTCCCTTACAGGAAATATCGTGAGTTTTAATAAAATTATAATTTACATTATAAATAACCTGCTTGAGAAATCACTCATCAATCGTTTAATCTTACCTTTAGTCCCATTGGACCAGGCCATCCAATAGATCCTGGCATTCCAGGGACACCTGGAGGACCCCGGCTGCCCTTCAAAAAACAGAAGATGGAGTAAATGAAATTAAAAAAGAAAAGACAAAGGAAAATCAGGTATAATAGCATGGATGTTCACATAATTTCAAAATTCAAAATGACTGTAATAGAGTAACTTCAACTAGCAAAACCTACTTTACATAAACCATTGGAAATTCTTCATGACCATGGGGCACCCAGAAATTCAATACGTTCATCCTCATCTGTCACTTCACTGAAGCCATTCCACCAGATTTCAGGAAAGGAAGAATTAGATCTGACAAGTAAATGGCTATTTGGAATAGGAAGGTCTTGGCCAGGAAGTGAAAGAGAAGGGGAGTCTAACAGATTTTTTGGGACAGGAAGAACTTCTATTTTAACTATAGAGAATAGATATGTTATATCTATATATCTCAGATTAATGCATGTATTTCAGAGTTTAATGTCATATAGAACTTTTATAACATTCCTATATGCCTTAGCACAAAAGCATATGCACAAAAGCAGCTTCCCCAACCTGAAGCCATTTCAGATGTATGGACTTCAATTTTCAGTATTCTCAGCAATTGCCGATATTGGTTGGAGGACTCTGGTTACTGAAGTCCACACCTGGAATTAAATTAAGTTGGGAAAAACTTATAGAAATCAGCCTTCCCAAATGTGTTGTACTGCAACTTCCATCACCCACATCTAGCATGAGCCTGACGAGTGGAAGCCAGGAGTTGCAGTCCAATACACCAGGTTGAAGATAGTTGCCGCAAGCCTTATAATGTAAGAGATCTTATGCATTTTGTATTATACCTTTCTTCCTGGTCTTCCAAACTCACCCTGTCAGAGAAAATAATACATCAGTAGGAGGCACAAACAATTTTAATGTGGCTGGACATTTTTAATTTGGTTAATTATCAAGAACAGAGGAAAGCAACATGTGACAGATCCCTATATTCTTTTTTTATAATCAGGACTTCTGTTAATCAGACAGATCACACTTCTTGGAACCAAGATAGAAACTGGTAAAATGAATACTGGGGGGGAAAAGTGATGACCTCAAACACTGGGGCTTTTCCAGGTTTTGGGGGAGACAAGTTTTTGGGGAGACCAAATGACTTTCCTAACTTGGCTGAGAAAAATATTTAAATGTGTTTAAAAGACATAGTTAAATTGTTCTTTGTCTAAGCAGGAATCTTGCACAATCAAGATTCTGACCTTTCTGAAGACAGAAAGGATCTGTAGTAAGTCAAAACTGAAGTTTTTCTTCAGCCTTTCCAATTCAACCTATAATGGTCAAGAGAAAAAGTCAGAACCAGAAGGTGCATTCTAAACTTCCACTGTTGAGATATAAAGATAATAAAATCAGGACTACAAAAATTTAGATGGTAGCAAATATTTAATTTCTGAACCTCTTTGCTGCCATGTATATGGATTTTTGAAGCCAGATCTGCTAGCCTTAAGTTATGATTTAGTACTCTTATATGTTTTGTTTAAAGTAACAATTTCTGCTGCAAAAATCCAGATTGCTTAAAGTAGTCATTTCTTCTGCAAAAGAAGGTACTTAGAAGGTACTTAGAAGGTAGCAAAGAATTTATTTTTTTTAAAAACCCTCTTTGCTGCCATTTGAGTTTTAAAGGTCAGATATTGTAATCTTCCTTACAGGTGATCTGCATTTCTACAACAATCAGCGCAATCAGTTTGCATCCCATATTTACATACTTGTATGAACAAATTTCCCCAAGGTTTTTTTTTTTTTTTTACATTAACAAAACATCTTTGGAGCTTACTTTTACTCCCTTTGGTCCTTTCACACCAGGAATACCTTGTGGGCCCTAAAAATAGAAGTATGGTGTTTAAATATCTTCATCATGCAATTTGTTTACTGACTTGCCAGTGATAACGTGTGACTCAACAGAGCTTTTCTTGTTTCTTCTTGAAATAATCTGTACCAAGTTTAGTCACTTCAATTTATCTTTAATTTGGACAGGAAACTTCACATGCAAATGGTTCATGTCTGTTTAGAGCAGCCTCTACTATTTTGGTCTCATTTAATGTTCAGTTTTTAGGGCTTTTTATGCCTAATGACAGATGAAAGATGCTTCCAAAAAGGCTCCTGGTAAATTCTGGGATTTTGTTAGCGACTCAGAATGACATTTTCTTACCCTCGTAACTCTGTCCTTTGCCTTCACATCTGCCTGCATATTTGTTTCTAGAAATACTCCTTAAGAAACAGTTAGACCATGCTTTAATTTGGTAGAATTCAGAGCCTTTCATATGGAAAATATAGTGGAGAGATTGGATGGAAGCATGACATCTGGAATTTGGGGGAAAAGTGATTCTGTTTTAGCAAAGCCAATGAAAAAAGGTAGAAAAACCATCTTGGTTACATTTAGATTAGGCTCCCAGAATTGGCCCAGATGGAAATGAAGCTGGCAAGCACATCTGCCTGAACCTTATGCTATATACAATGGGAAAAATAAAGCTTGTGGCAGCAATAGCCATGTTAGCTTTCCAGACCCCTGGATGTGCTGAGAATCACCAGTTGAGCCCTCAGTGTGCCAGTGCCTCCACTAGGCCCTTTTCAAAATTAGGTATTTCAGTAGAAAATCAAAGCTTGCCTAAGTCTCAAAATCAAAAAGAGGTGGTATGTTCAAAGAGTAGCAAATAATTATAAAGTAAATATCTCTGAAACTTTTAATGTTTCCCCTTAAGACAATCTGGACCCATCAAACAAGAGCTAAGATTTAAGAATCATAGAATTTTCATGGACCGATAGAAACATGGGATTCCTTACTTATTTATGTCATTTATTTAATGTTTAATTACTTGCACCAACAATTATTTCAGCAGTCTATTTAAAAAAATAGTTAAAGCAACTTTTGCCTTGACGGCCCAACAAGTATATTTAACCAAATAAATATAATTAAAATAAGGAGGCTGCTTTCTTTGCATCATTTCCTCTCATTGTGCCATTCTATCTTTCTATGCCATCTGACAAAGTAACTTATCAGAATACCTGCCCCCAGTGACCCCATTTTGTCCTTCCAAAATAAAGTACTAACCTGGGGGCCAGGAGGTCCTGGGGGGCACACAGATTCTGCACAGGGAGATTGTGTTATCTGAAGCTCTTGACACAAGTTTTTCAGATCCAGAGAAAACAACATCTAAGAAATTAAAAGAAGGAGAGGAGGCACAAAAGGACATAAAAGGTAAAATCTGCTTTGAGTTGAATTTGACCCTTGACAATTTTATGGATATATCCATGCAATTTTCTTGGTAAGAGCATGGAAGGGATTTGCCATTGTCTTTTTCTAGATGCTTAGCTAAAGCTTTGACAATTCTTTTTTGGCTTCCCATTCAAGTATCAACAATGCCTGACTTTACTTAGCTTCTGAGTGCCAGTAGGATGAGGTGCAGCTATCTGTTGAATAAATTCCCTTAGATTGGAGCTTGATGACTAGGAACTTCCTGATATATTCATGTATATTTTTTTTAGTAATATTACAAAAATGTTTTCATAGTCTGTTCCTGGAATGTCTTTTCAGCTTCCTGATTCTTCCCATAGTTTCCTGGAGATCTTACATCGAAGAACTAACTGGGTCCAGTCTAGTTTAACTTCCAGGCACAAATGCCCAATATACATGAGCAGTAGTCCAATGTCAGAGCAGGAGAATAAAGTTGTATATTCAATACCCACATGCCTCTTTCATCCATTCATGGGTCATCTAGATATTTTCTGATTTCCCCAAGTTCTATCCAACATTTTTGGAAAAAGAGTTCTAGCTCAACCACTGGGTTCCCATTGCACTAAGCAATGATTTGATACATAATCTAGAAATAGCTGGATTCACCTGTGACACTAAACTCTACATCATGGTTTACATGCCCCAAAGGTCCTCATGCTAAGTCATAGCAAGGCTTATCCTTTGTGGGAAATAAGGCTACTAGTGGTTATAAGCCATTTCTGTTACTAATGGAATAGATTTTTCTGGAACACATGAGCTGCTACTGAGCTCACCTATGTGTATGTCTGTTTGGTCTCTGTGGAAATAGAATATTGGACTATACTAGATTTCAATCTCGCTCTTCTCACTTTCATTCTACAACACAATTTCCTCAACCAAAATAGACCTTCCTGCTTGTAGCCCAAATTTCAAGTAGCAGATGGTCCCAGAAATAGCATCTCCCAATAAAGCACCCACCATATGACCCGAACACAGGTAGTTCTCTATTTATGACAGTAATTGAGTCTGGGATTAGAGTCATAAATTGTGCTGAATACTAAGCAAGTGCCTGCATGATTTTACAAGCACTTTTGTGGCACTTGTTAAGGGAATCACCATTGTTGTTAACTGAATCTAATCTATTGTCCACTAGAGGTGTTTCCTGGAAAAAAGTCATAAATCACAGTCACATTACTATGGTATGCTGCAAACTGCTGTAAATGTGGACCAGTTTCTGAGCAGCCAAAATGTGACCATGTGACCATGGAGGGCTGTCAGAACTTTGCATCGAAGTCATAAGCAAGACATAAGCAGCCCTGGGGAGGTATCATACAGGGCACAAAGAAACTGGTTTTAAGTTGAGAACTCTCTGTTTGGATTATGAAATTTCCACCGAGAACAAGAAAAGAAGTTCCACTTTTTACAAAGTATTCATAAAAAATGTGAAGTAACAGTGAGAGGACGTACTTCATTTTCTCTCACCTATTAAACAGAAATTATATAATACAGAAAGGACAGAACTGGCAAGAGACTACGCTGTCCCTTGCGATATTATGCAATATATCACATTTATACAATTTATGCAATATGGGAATCAGTCCAGTAAATATGCACACAAATAAAGTAGCAAACAATGAAAAGTCTTGCCTTCCTGGTAGTTTTTCATATTAAGAAAGCATAAAATTATAGTAGTTACTGTAGCTTAATTGTATACATTTTCTCTCACACATTCCAATAATGTTATTTAAGGTCATTACCCTCTGCTCTGAGTTTAGAAGGCTTTGCACCTTCTCTATGTCAAGTATTTTGATGATTTTTCGAGGCTGTGAAATGTTTTTTTAATTTTAGGTTCTGGCTGGAGATGAGCTCATCCTTTCCCTTCTGAAACAGTGAAAACTGCAGGGAAAGATTCAACACTTTAAAACAGATAATAGATGAACTTTTCAGAGAAGAATGGACGATAATAGGAAGCCTGACGGTAGAGTGCTCAGAGCACAATATTGCAGGCAAACTCTGCCCAAGCCCAGTTCAATCTTGATTCAGCCTTCCATCCTTCTGAGGTTGGTAAAAGAAGGATCCAGATTGTTGAGGAAAATATGTAAATAATGCTTCTACATTGCAAACCTCCGAGAGAATGCTTTAAAGCACTAAAGGGTGGTATATAAGTCTAAATGCTATTGCTATAGGGGGAACAACCAGTGGCCAATAGAGTCCACAGGCCAGAAGTTACCTATACAGTTTATATTTTCCTGTTGTGTTTATTTTTATTTATTAAATTTATATGCCACTCATCTTATTGCTGAGGGAAATATTGAAAGATCATGAGTCAATCCAGAACATGTACTGAAAAAAGGAAAAGGGTACATTATTACCATTCTTCAGTGCAAACTCAGTTGCATGAAAATGAATCTTAGGGCATGTCAAATTTTTCACCTTTCAAATTCCAAACATTGTAACTCAAAAGTTGTGACATGCCTTGGGGATTGTAAAGATATTTTGGTTATTTTAATATAATTTAGATGTGCTTGGTAACTAACTACATAAATCTGATAACTTTTTAACATTTTGTTTGTTTCAGCATATATTCTTAGCACAAGGTTCTTCTGGTGCAGCCTCACCAGAATTATTGACCTCTTGATGCTGCTTTTTATGGCAATCCATTATATTCTTGGTTTTGTTGCTAGAATTTTTCCTATACTATTGCATATTCTATACATCCACCCACAGTTCTAGGGCAGCTTGTGGGATGTTAGGAAGAATTCAAGGAAGACTTCCGGTTTGTTTTTCGTTGGTGTCAGTGCGGAATCCGCGATCATGTGCGGTTTTGCCCAAACTCTCTTGCTGGAGGGTCCCAATCAGGACTGGAAACATGCTGGTGGGGTGGTGAAGAAGGGGAAAATCACCTGGAGGGTTGAGGGGAGCCACAACTCCCCTCCCTGACAGGAAAATCCCTCCTGAAGGCAAGTTGCAGCAGTGGTCTTAAAATGGCCACTACAAAGGACATTCTGGGAAACTAAGTTTTGTGCTGGAGAGAGAAGTAGCAAGAAGAACCAAGCAAAGGACATCACTTTTGAGGTACCCTGGTATCAAATTAAAGGGCTATTTTGGAGGAAAGTGTGTGGAAGCAGCGACCAGAGAAAGTGAGAAAGAAGATGTTTTTTTTAATTTGGATTTGATTATTTTACTGGATTAATCTGGAGGAGAAATTTAAAGGAAAATACATTAACACAACAAAGGTTTAAAAATTAAACTGGACAGATATTGAATTATGGGAAATTAAAGGGCATAACAAAATGCTGGAATTTAGTCTGTTGAAAAGAATAGCTAATGATTGAACTTAATGAACTTAATAAAAACATCATATTCAACAAAGAAAGTTAAAAAGAAAAAGACTCAAGAGTGCCACCTGATGGTACAGGAAAACTTTAATATGTTTTAAAACAAGCATCTGGTCTTTTTGAGACTTTGGATCTTGGAACTTGAAAGAAAATGAAAGGAGCTTTATTATTCTCATAGAACCTCCCAGTAATTTGGGAAACAGTTGGGAGGCCAATTAGAAGATTTGGAATATTAAGATCACGAAATCAGCAGCCTATAAAGAAAACTCATATAAAATGTTTTATAGATGGCACCTGCCCCCTTCGAGATTGGCGAAGATGCACCCCAACATGAGCCCCAAATGTTGGAAATGTCAAAATATAGAAGGTACCTTCTTCCACATGTGGTGGTCATGCAAGGAAACCCAGAAGTACTGGCAAAAAATTAGGCACTGGCTAGAGGAAATAACCAAGGAACAAATTGAATACAAACCAGAGTCCTTCCTTCTAGGAATTTTTGATAAACAAATATCCAAAATATCGAAGTATATTACAATCCATATCTTAACCGCGGCCAGACTGGCATTTGCCCAGTGCTGGAAACTACCCTCTATCCCCACTGAACTTATGGTTATTCAGAAAATTTTACAATGCGCCGAAATGGACAAACTAACCCAAGCGTTAAAAAATAAAGAATCCTCAACCTATTATAGCAATTGGAATCCTTTGTATAATTGGCTAAACCAAAGATAGATCACCTCGAGGAAAATTAAGGCCGAGGGCCTCCGAAGCAGAGATAAAGAAAAGCATCGCCGACGATAGTTTTGAAGAAGAAAGGACCTTACAGACAGTCACCAAAAATATGGTTTTATTATAATTGTTTTCCCTACTCTTTCCCCCCCTTCCCTTACCTTTCCCTCTTTCCTCTCTCAAGCCTCCCTCTCTTTCCCTCTTGGCCTATGCCAAGACCTGTTTGTCTTTTTGTTGTATATAATTTGTAGCTGTGTTGTTTTTTAAAAAAGTAAAATTAATAAAGTTTTTTCTAAAAAAAAAAAGAAGATTTGGAATAAAGATTCAAGATTATGAATTGTTGAAAACAAACTCAAAAGATATTGGCTGAAATAAGATACTGTACTCTGGATTGAATATATCTATCAAAGAAGAGGATTTCAACTATTAAGGAAGAGGAAAGAAAAAGGAAAAGGGAGAAGATATAATGGAGGAGCTATTTGTTGATATAAGACTGGACTTACAAATAAGATTGGGTATGCAAGATACAAGGGACATGATAAAAATTAAACTTGAAATGTGTAATTATGTATTACAGAAATTAGAAATGGTGACTCAGCATACACAAGAACACAATAAACCAGAGGAGGAGGAGTTTTATAAAGAAGAAGCCAACTTAGAACAACAAAATGGACAACAATTATTTAAGCAGGGAGGAAAAGGAATTAGAATTAAAATATTGTGGTCTGATGGGATGATAAAAGAGATAATGGTTCAGAAAATGGTTAAAGAGAGAAGGGAAAAGCAGAAAAAGGAAGTGCAAAGGAAAACTCAAAAGAGGGAGAGAGAAAAGTTTAATAACTGGAATGAGAAAAGGAGGGGAATAAGAATGGG